TAGACTTTTCCAAAACTTGAAAGTGTAGAAGATATGAGACAGATATGAAAATCCCAGAACAGACAAGAGGAGCAGAAAAACGTCCGCTCTCGCTTGCAACCCGGAAGTGTATTTTCCGAGTCATTTAACTGGCAATTTAAGTTACAGCTCAAATGTCTACAAACCCCAATTCCATTGAAGTTGAGACACTGTGTAAAACGTAAATGAAAACAGAATACATTGACTTGCAAATCCTTTTCCCATAATTAATTGAATACATCACAAAGACAAGATATTTAATGCTCAAACTGATCAACTTTATTGTTTTTGCAAATATTCACTCATCTTGAATTGGGGTTTGTAATTGTAGCATCAAAAGTATGAATTCCCATCCTGCAGAACAACCCACTGGCACTACAAAATCTTGGCTGTCTATGCAAGATTTGTAGGCAATCACTGTATGCAATCTGAATCATCCATGTAGTCCCTTTCTTGAAATTAGTTCACAGGGGTGCAGTGTACAGAAATAAACAATAAGCTTTAAAGAGTCTTAGTTTGACTACATTGAAACTGTTATGAAACCTTCTTGCCAACATATTCCCCTGTGCATAAAAAATGCAGCATTGTCTGATCATATCATCATTTAACTGATCTGTATTATTGTGACATGGATAGTTAGTCCTGGCACAAACACTGAAAGCTTGACCAGATAAGTACAAATCTAGAAACTGAACACTGCTATGTGAAAAGATTACCAGATCATCAGCATACATTAAATGATTAACAAGTGTACTACCCACCATACATCCTGAAGGGCAGCTACTCAACTACATTGACAGCTCATCTATGTAAAAGTTTAAAAGCATTGAAGATAATTAATAGCCCCCTGGCGTACACTGTTACAAACACTAAAGGGGGCAGAGACTTCATTGCCCCACCTAACCTACATACTCTGATTGGAATGCCAATAAGCTACTGTAGAATCCAGACAATACTGTCAGGAACTACCATTTGTATCAGTTTCTTGAATAATTTACAGTGATTGACCTGGTCAAAGGCCTTAGAAACATCAATAAAACCAATAAAAATGGTTGAATTGTGGTGTCTATATTTTTGTACAATTTCTTTCAAGGCATAGATACACATATCACTTCCAAGCTTAAACTTAAATTCAATCTGATTATTTGTATTAAAAATATATTTTTTCAAATGGTCCAATAAGATCCTTTCCAGAACCTTGGATAATGTTCTTGCCAAGGCATTAGGCCTATAATTGTCTATATTACCAACCTTACCAACTCTGTTTTTAATTACAGGTAGTATAACTACAGACAACAATGAGTTAGGCAGCAAACCAAGCATCAAAAGGCCAGTAAAAAAAATTGTGAGTTAAGGTGTACCCCGAGGTCTTGGAATTTCAAATGCTCAGTTGTAATCAAATCAGATCCACTGGCCTTACATACAGGCAGCTGCCCAGTAACCTGGGGTAACTTACTGGCGGTGATAATCAACTAATCCGTATATTTAACAATACACATTTCATAAAGACTACTTTGGGCACAGTTAAACAAGGCAGAGTAGTTCTGCCTCCATAGCTCAACTATATTTTCTACTCCCAAGATAACCCCCGCAGTGCAAGGGAGAGGCACATTTCCCCTATTGAGGCTTTTCACTTCCTTCCAAAAATCATTAGTATCCCTGGAAAGCAATTTTTCAGCCATGGGGTCAGCGCTCAATAACTGTTCATGTTTACAGATATAACAAACTGCATATTCATATTTAGCATTGGTATGTTTTTTATAGTTCAACACAGGACCAGGTCTAGACTTACTGGCCTTAATCTATGCCTTGTATGCCATCATAGCCCCGTCACAGCATGCAGCCACTTGTTTATTCCAACCTGGCTTGATGTTATGTACCGAGAGCTTACCTGTGATGGCATTAAAATTTACATCAGGACATAAAATAGCATCCATAGATAAAGGTAATCTAGAGATTAGACCAATCCATCTGATTAAACCACTGTCGCTAGCTGCGAACTGCAATGTTTCTGAATAAAATAAGAAGAAATGGTTTCCTGTCTCATAAATAGTTTTTAGGGTAGTTAGGTCTTTTGTCCCATAATGTACAGTAAATGGAGCTTTAGGCTCATTGCCTAATATGAGTCATGTGAGACACATGGCAAAATTTTTATCAAACTGATACCTGTGAAAACACTGTGGCTGATTTCAGTAAAGCAAAATAGTGACTCTTAAACATAATAAAATAAAAGGTATGGAATATGTGATGTAATTCTGTTGGCTGCACTGTGACAAACCCTGAGCCCTGTGTCTGATGGAAAGAAAATAAACATTGTTAAACAGATATGAATAACTAATTAACAGCAGGGTTTAGGTCTTAAATGTAATATCATTTATTTTGTTTGACTATGTCAGTGTTTCAACATTCCAACAAGTCAGAACAATTTTGAGTGACTAACATCACCTTGAATAATTTTTCCAGAAATGATGATTCTGAAAGCTGATCTGAACCAGCTGTAAAAGAAAGCATAAATAAATGGATTGAGCGTTGAATTTGACAGTGCAAACCAGGCAAGTAATTCCAGCAAAACAAGTGGTACTGTAACTTTACTGAAGGCAATAACAGTGACAGAGAGAAAGTAAGGGGACCAACATATCAGAAAAACTCCCATAACAATAGCCAGAGTTTTGGTGGCCTTTCTCTCCATCTTACTGACAGTTGCTCCAGACTTTGTGTTCTGGATGCTACGTGCCTGTCTCTGTGCAACAAGGAAAATCTTCATATACATGCACAACAGCATTACAATCATTGGGAGATAAAATGCAAGAAGAAGTGCCATAATGTTTGCCACTATAACAAAATGTAAACACGTATTAGTGCATGTTTTTTGATTTAATCCAGCAATTAGTAAAATAATTCCAATTACAACAGCAACACCCCAGCTCACCAGGATCATTATTACAATAACACGAACATTTATCTTAGTCCTATATGTCAGAGGCTTACACACTGCATAGTATCTGTCAACAGAAATACAACACAAGTTCAGAATAGATGATGTGCACAGTGACACAGCAAAGCTGCTCCGTACTTTACAGAATACATTATATTGATAAAGACATGAGCTCATAGAGAATTTTATGGCAAGAGGAGAAACTGCAAAACCAACAAGAAGGTCAGCCACAGCCAGAGAGAGAATGAGATCGTTTGTTGGAGTGTGTAGCTGTTTGAAGTAAATGATGGCGATTATTACCAGCAAGTTTCCACATACAGTTATACAAGATAATGAACTTAGGAAAATATTAAGTAATGTGCATAATATGGAATGGGTGCTTGTCAGTACATAAGAGACACTTGTTTCAAAGCAGATATCTATGTTAATAACAGTCCTGTTGGCACTCATTTCCAATTTTTGTGTTATGCAATTTAATTAAATGTATAAACATTATGGATATTAAAATAATATAGAGGGACTTTCATTTATGTGTGTTAAGTTTAAAATATTTGGTCAGTATCAGTGCACGTTAACATTAGTTTTTTTAGAAATAGAAGAGATTTTGTGTCGTGGCAAGAGTGAGATACCAACTAAATTAATTCAGACAAACCATTACAATTTAAAGGATCATTTAATATTACAATTATTCTCAATAGAGTAGTATTTAAACAGATACTCTCGTAGTTAGGGAACAGAGATCAGAGAACAGAGACTCTCCTCTTGCAATGGAATAGATAAAGCCTAAGAAGATTGTTAAAGCACCAGTCAGT